AAGTGAGCTGCAACACCGGCCAATTGGCCCCAATCTTACCTTATCTTGATATTTTAATTTTTCTCTTTTGTTGTTTTTTTCTCTGTTGTTTATTTAATTGTCAGTTTGTGTTTGCTTTTTTTCTCTATTGACTTTGTACAGTGTACTTTGCATTTTTTTAAAGACTTATTTTTATTTATTTGAAAGGCAGAGTGACAGAGAGAGAGAGAGACAAAAAGAGAAAGAGATCTTCCATATGCTGGTTGATTTCCCAGATGGTTACTATGTGGGATGCTAGTGTTGCAGGTAGCGGCTTAGTGCCACAACAGTGCCCCCCCTGTACATTGCATTTTGAGATTTTTAAAAGATTTATTTATTTGAAAGAATGACAGAGATAGAGGGAGACACACACAGGGAGAGGTATATTCCATCCACTGGTTCACTCACCAAATGCTCATAATATCCAGGGGTGGGCCAGACTGAAGCCAGGAGCCAGGAATTCCATCCCAGTCTCCTGCATGAGTGGCAGGAACCCAAGTACTTGGGCCATCACCTATTGCCTCCCAGCACATTAACAACTGTGTTGTAATTGTAGAGGAGCTGGGACCCCAGGCACTCCATCCAGTATGACTTCTTCTCTACATTTTAATTTTTATACTGGCTGCTTTAAAGGTGTTCAGAAAATTATTTAATCCAAAGCCAACATTTGTATCTCCATTCCCCTCCCAGGGTTACATATAGAATTTTGTATACTTCGTTTTTCTTCATGCCTATGTAATTACTTAAATAATAATTGTGTATTTGGATCATTGTTATTTATATTATTTAGCTCTGTCTCTATTTTTAACTGTTTTCAGTGGTATTACCAATGTTTTTAGACAATGACTTTCGCATTTTTTTAATCTTCTTTTATTTGGGGTCGATAACACTCATCTAGGTCATTTATTCAAGTTCTTTCAAGGAGGCTCTATGGAAATGCTTTCTGAGCTCTTGTGCATTTAGTTATGAATCTGTGGACCTTCAGACATATTTGAAAATTGACTGCGTATAAAATTTTAAAAATTATTTATTTCTTTATTTGAAAGGCAGAAAAAAGGGAAATCTCCTATCTGCTAATTCACTCCCCAAATGTCTGAAACTGCCAGTCTGGACAGGCTGAAGCCAGGAACCTGGAACTCAATACAGGTCTCCTACATGGGTGGCAAGGACCCAACTACTTAAGCCATCACTTTGCTGCCTCTCAGGGTGCATATTAGCAGGAAGCTGGAATTGGAAGCAGAAGCAGGACTTGAATGCAGGCACTCTTCTATGAGATGCATGCATCCCAAGCATCATCTTAACCACTGTGCCAAAACTCTGGTATTATTTTTTTTAAAGGAGAATGAGCGTCTTTTATTTTTTTATTTTTATTTTTTTTGCTTTAAGATTTATTTATTTATTTGAAAGGCAGAAGTACAAAGGAGGGAGAGAGAGAGAGCGAGAAAGATCTTTCATCTGCTGTTTCACTCCCCAAATGACTGCAAAAACTGGGTTTGGGTCAGGTGGATACCTGGAGCCCAGAGCTTCTTCCAATTCTCTATGTTAGTACAGGGACCCAAGGACTTGGGCCATATTCTGCTTTCCCAGGCACATTAGCAGGGAGCTGGATGGGAACAGCGGGGACTCAAACTGGTCCCCATATGGGCTGCTAGCCCTGCAGGTGGAGACTTACTTTTCTATGCCACAGCGCCAGCTCCACTCATTGTTTTTTGTCATTTACTATTGCAAAGAAATAAAAGTGAACCTGTATTGCTTTTTTTTTTTTAATGTAGGTAAAGGTTTTCCTTATGTGTTTTCTTTTTTTAAAGATTTATTTATTTATTTGAAAGAGTTACACAGAGAGAGAAGGAGAGGAAAGAGAGAGAGAGAGAGAGAGAGAGAGAGAGAGAGGTCTTCCATGCACTGGTTCACTCCCCAATCGGCCAGAGCTGCACTGCCCCGAAGCCAGGAGCCAGGAGCTTCTTCTGGGTCTCCCACACGGGTGCAGGGGCCCAAGGACCTGGGCCATCTTCTGCTGCTTTCCCAGAGAGCTAGATCGGAAGTAGAGCAGCCAGGACTCAAGCCGGCACCCATATGGGATTCCAGCACCGCAGGCAACGGCTTTACCTGCTGTACAACAGCACCGGCTCCTCTTATGTGGTTTTAAACATTTTGCTTTGTCCTGGTGAGTTTTAGATTTAGATCCCTATTAAGATTACCTGGAGTTTTACATGATATAGTACTTTATTCCTTGATTACTGCCTGGTATTTTGTGGTCCAAAAGTTGAACATTTTTTCATCCAAGAAAACTTTCTTGAGCTTTGCTTGTTGATTCTTGGCATTTCTTATATTTAGAAAGAAGTGATTTCAGTGCTTTTTTTACCATTCTAGTTTCATTGTATTTCTAATAATTTTCATCCCTAACTTTTTACTCTACATTCTGGGACATCTACTAAGGTTTGCATTCTCTGTCACTGAATGAAAGTTGTTATAATGCATTTTTACCCTTGTTTCTCCCAGTGCAATTTTAACTCTTATTTTTCATCTTCTATTTCGGAGAAACTTTCTTGTATCCTAGTGACACCAAGTAGTTTTCTAAAATTTTCTTCATGATTCCTACTTTTAGATGACTTTCTTCTTTTTGAATCATCAGAATATTGTTCCCTAGTCGAGTTTGCCAAAGACAATGGATATAGATTGTCCATAGCCACACATAGCTTCCTAATTAGCCATCTTTGATTTGCCATTCTACAGGTTCTTACATACCTATCTGAGCTTAACTTCCTGGGTGTTTAAATGAGTCTTCTTTTACATTTCTGGGTTTTATGCTTTTCTGAGTAGGTTGATCATGTAGGAAAACACTATCCTTGGATATTCACTGCTAGTTGAGCTTCCTAATATCTGTCCCATAGACAATATAGTACTTCAGTTCCCTCCTGTTTGTTCTCTGTCTTCCTCCATTTCATCATTACCAACCCTTCTCTGCATCTCAGGGTTTTATTGTGCAGTTGAATCTCCGACCTGATCAAGAAACAAAATAGGGGGCCAGCACTGTGGTGTACTAGGTCGAGCCTCCGCCTATGGTGCCAGTATCCCATATGGGTGCCAGTTTGAGTCCTGGCTGCAATGGCTGGAGCTGAGCCAATCAGAAGCCAGGAGCCAGGAGCTTCTTCCAGGTCTCCCACATGGGTGCGGGGGCCCAAGGACTTGGGCCATCTTCTGCTGCTTTCCCAGGCCATAGCAGAGCTGTATCAGAAGTGGAGCAGCCGGGTCTCCAACCGGCGCCCATATTGGGATGACCAGCACCCCAGGCCAGGGCGTTAACCCACTGAGCCACAGCACCAGTCCCAACACATATACATACACACACACACACACACATATATATATATATATTTTTTTTTTTTTTGACAGGCAGAGTTAGATAGAGAAAGAGACAGAGAGAAAGGTCTTCCTTCCGTTGGTTCACCCTCCAGATGGCCACCATGGCCGGCGCTGTGCCAATCCGAAGCCGGGAACTAGGTGCTTCCTCCTGGTCTCCCATGCAGGTGCAGGGCCCAAGCACTTGGGCCATCTTCCACTGCCTTCCCGGGCCACAGCAGAGAGCTGGACTGGAAGAGGAACAACCAGGACAGAATCTGGTGCCCCAACCGGGACTAGAACCCAGGGTGCTGGTGCCACAGGCGGAGGATTAGCCTAGTGAGCCACGGCACCAGCAAGCACATATATTTTTTAAAGAGTAGTTGAGTGTCCAGCCAGGACTAGAATGAGGCACACTCATATAGGATGCAAACATCTCAAGCAGTGACAACTGCTTTGCCATATACCCACCCTATTAAATTTAAAGAATACTTATTCTAGAGCTTTTTATATTTAATGCTTCCAGTAAATACAATGAGCATTTAAATGAAAACAAAAAATCACAGAACTTAGCAGATAAGTAGATGAGAGGAAGCATGTACTGTTCTATAAGTGTGGAATGTAATGAATAAAGCAGTTGTTTAATTTCAGTAAATAAAAGCATTAAAGTGAGAGGGAACATTGACTTACAAATTGGATAGCTAACATGTTTATATAATTTGTAATAGTGTTATTGTGAGAGAAAAACAACTTTAAGTCAAAGAGGACCTAGCAATTATGAATCACATCTCATTATAATTTCCACGACTCCCCAGTATTTAAAATCAGGAAATTTTTCATTACACATTTGTTTGGGGCAATATCACATTTATTAGATTATAAGATTATAGGAATTTTGATGGTAAGGATCATAGGCTGTATACGTAGTTGCCTTGGGCAATTCAATGTTAAATAGTCAAAAGAGGTTTGTTTCTTTTTATGAAGAAAGACTCATCAGGGATAAACCTACTATCTTTCTTGCTTGAAAGTGATAATTGTTTTAAAGATAATGGTCAGGATTTTAGAAGTATTCTCATATTAGCTATACCTGTCTCAACTAGTTTGTTCGAAACCAGAGGCTTTTGTATTATATTTGTGTGTGGAGAGAGGGGAACAGCTTCATTAGGTGAAGTGCAGAGTATGTTGTTCACAGTTCTTTCACTTGGGGATTAGAAGTCTTCTTCTTGCTTCCGCCCATTATACCTATGAATCTGTAAAGTGACACCCTAGCCTTAATCTACATGCTGTCTTCAGCTGAAAAATCAAGAAGTGCAGAGAATTTGCTTTTTGTGTTGAACCTTCAGTTCATCACATTAGTCCAATAGCATTTTGGATTCACATTGACTTAAGAAGTATAGCAGAGGTAGATTAGCACTGCTCAAAGACTTGATCTTTATGTCCATTGGAAACTTGCCTAAGTACTGAATTTTGTGTTTTCTGTAGTATTGTTTTTTGCAAACACGTTAAAATTGTATTATAACTGAAGAAAAAAAGCTACTTGATATGTTTTTCCAGTATTCTTGTAAAACAAGTTTATATGATACGTAGTTTTAATTCAAACTCTTTAACGGTGTGTTTATGGTAATTTATGTACTGATTTCTAGGGGCCACCTACAGATGCTCCTGCAGTAGACACAGCAGAACAAGTGTATATCTCTTCCCTGGCACTGTTAAAAGTAAGTAATGAATGGAGTTAACTTGCTTTAGAGAGCTTTATTTCTTTCAGTGTATCCTTTACTTTGGACGGAATTTGTGTCACCTTACTCCTCCCAGAATTAAGATGTTATTTTAGATGCATCTGTAAAATAGAATGCTTTATCTCTACTGGAACAAAATTAAGTTTTCTTAAAGGAAAGAGTGGAGTGGCAAAGATTTCAAAGAAATGTACTTTATGTTCACGTAGTTTCCTGTTTACAGATGTTAAAACATGGCCGTGCTGGAGTTCCAATGGAAGTTATGGGTCTCATGCTTGGAGAATTTGTTGATGATTACACCGTCAGAGTGATTGATGTGTTTGCTATGCCACAGTCAGGAACAGTGAGTACTTTTATGGTTGCCTGCTGCAAGTAAATGTGTTTGTTTTCTTTTTTCTTTTCCTATGCGGAATAACTTTTATCATTTTATATTTTCACTTTCCAATAGGAAAAAATGAAATCATAAGGTTAATGATAGAAATTTATGCATTCTATTAATTCATTATCTTTTCTTTCTTTTTTTTTTTTTTTTTTTTTTTTTTTTTTTGACAGGCAGAGTGGACAGTGAGAGAGAGAGAGACAGAGAGAGAAAGGTCTTCCTTTTGCCGTTGGTTCACCCTCCAATGGCCGCCGCGGCCGGTGCGCTGTGGCCGGCGCATCGCGCTGATCCGAAGCCACAGGAGCCAGGTGCTTCTCCTGGTCTCCCATGGGGTGCAGGGCCCAAGCACTTGGGCCATCCTCCACTGCACTCCCTGGCCACAGCATAGAGCTGGCCTGGAAGAGGGGAAACCAGGACAGAATCCGGCACTCCGACCGGGACTAGAACCTGGTGTGCCGGTGCCGCAAGGCGGAGGATTAGCCTAGTGAGCCACGGCGCTGGCTTATAATTAATTATCTTTAAAATACATCAGATTCTTAGAACTCTCCAAACTGAATGATGTTAACAGTAAAGCCATTCACTTTCCCTTCACTTAAACAAGCATAACACGCTGAATATAAGTGTTAGTTACCCTGTCAAAGCAAGGAATTAGTTTGAACATTTGGTTCAAAGACTTCAAAGATTGTCTTACTTAAATTTTTGATTCATGTACATTAACTAGTTCTCATATATTGTTCCCATTTTGAAATATTTTGAAAACTATTTTATATATGCTGATAAATGATTTTTAAGCTTTTCCTAGTAAATAAATTAACTTAAAAAAACAGAAACTATAGTGAACCTTAGTTCTTTTTGCATGGGTATGATGATTTGTTTATGTGAACTATACTCTGTACAGATTTACAAGGTCATCTATTTGTTTAGAATATATTGCTCTTTCTAGAAATTTATTGTTTTGCCTTTTTGTTCAATGCATTACGTGTGTGTAGATAGAAATACATTTAAAGAAAATGGCTAAAAAGCAGTAACCATTCTACCTACCTTCTCCACCACCTACAGAGAAACAACACATAATATTCTCACTCATTTGTATTTTTTCTGAGGGATGATTTTTCTCTGCCACACAGCACTTCTCTTGTTGAGCACTGTAAAATATTTGGCTTAAAGAAATTGTCATCATAAAGATGTTTGCTATATTTGATAAATTCACTTTGATTAGGTGGATACTAGGAAATAATATTTTTAAGTAATTCTCTGTGTATATATAAATATGTGTATATGTAAATAAAATGCTCATATATTTTTATGAGCATTTAAAATACTTGCTCCAAAATACAATATATTTTCAAATCATGCAAAATAGACAATTTATGGTGGTAAACTAATTTGGATCTGCTGATTTTGTCCACCTGGATGTCTATTATGTTTATTTTTACATTTGAACATCGAGATAGAAAAACACTATATATTAACTAGATTTAAAATTAAATCTTGTATCCATCTTTTCATGTCAGCATATATAAAACACTCAGTGAAATTAATTTCTGTTACATGTGATCCTTATGTAGACATCCACTGTAATACATGATTTTTGGGATTTTTTTTTAAAGATTTATTTCTTTACTTGAAGAGTTAGAGAGGAAGAGAGAGAGTGAGCCTACATCTACTCGTTTGCTTCCCATCTGGCTGCAAAGGCATTGCTGGACTGGTCTGAAGCCAGGAGCCAGGAGCTTCTTCTGGGTCTCTCACTTGGAAGCAGGGGCCCAAGAACTTGGGCTCTCTTGTGCTGTTTTCCTAGGTGCATTAGCAGGGAGCTGGACTGGAAGTTGAACAACTGGAACTCTAACCAGCACCCTTATGGGATATTGGCGCTGCAGGTGGTGGCTTTCCACACTACACCACAGTGCTGGCCAGATTTTTAGGCTTTAATATTACTTCCATGGAAATGCTTATTTGCCAACATAAATAGAAGATTCAGATACCCATAATTACTCAATGTAGTAAAATTAGGAAGTTTTGCTTCTGGCCCCAGAGTCAGCAAACTTTTTTTTATAAATACATATATCTGTTGTATATCTTATTCTCCTCCCTTTCCTCTTCCTCATTATTCTCCTTTTTAAAATTTAAAAAAACAATTATTTGACAGCAGATTGCATATTTCTTTTCTAGAGGAACTCTCTGTTGGAATCTGATATGCTGTTTGTTTTAGTGGGAAGAAGTGTTCATGGGAAATAGATTAAGTAGATTAGATTTAGATTCCTGATGTCAGAAGAAAGCCTCTAGGAGCTATAATGGCAGCATTCTGTCATCAGAGAGATAATATGAACTCTTTATTTTTCCATGTCCTGAAACATTGGTTGATCTAGCAAAAAATTGTAACTTTTAAGATACTTGATTCTGGACTGTCTCTATTAGAGAATTTTTGTGATTGCTTTTATATTTGAGGCAATAAATTATTGTCTTACATTGGGAGAGTGGGGAAGATTTGAGCTGCATAGTTGTAGAACTTTGGATGAGATTGAAGAATCTGGTCCTTATTAGTTATCAGAGGATGGCTGTAGGAAGCATGCTTGCCTAGAAAATTCCAATAAATAATTATGGTTAGCTCAATTATTTGATATTTCTAATAAATGTACACATCTCAATAGCCATAAACTCTAGCCTAAAGGAATCCTAAAAATCATTAATTAACAGCAGTATTTGACAATTTAGAAGTGTTATTGGTATAATACTTAAAAGCGAATGAATTGAGTGGATATCAAATATGGTTATTAAAACCTATAAAGTGATTTTTGTACACCAAAAATAGGTATTTTGGGGATAGCCTTTTGCTCATTTACATTATGATACAAAGTTATTTTTTTCAAAGTTATAAAAAATTAGTCATTTTTCTTTCTTTCTTAACCAGGGTGTCAGTGTAGAAGCAGTTGATCCAGTGTTCCAAGCCAAAATGTTGGATATGTTGAAACAGACTGGAAGGTAATTATTTTAAAGTATCATTTAATGAAATAACAGGAGGGTGGGTTTTGACCTAGTGGTTAAGATACTAGTTAGGACGCATCCCATTGTGAAAGTGGCTTGGCTTAATTCCTGGCTCTGGCTTCCAGTTCCTTCTTCCACCAATACAGACCGTGAGAGACAGTGGTCAAGGCTTAAATGGTTGGTTCTTTGCCATCCACATGGGAGGCCTGATTGAGTTCCTGGCTCCTGGCTCCTGGCTCCTGGCTCCAGTTTCAGCCCAACCTCAGTCCTGCTCTGGCCATTGCTGGAGTTTGGAGAGTAAATCAGTGGATGGTAGCTTGCTCTGTCTCTTTGCCTCTCATAAAATAAGAGGGACATTTAAAAAAAAATATTTATTTATTCAGTTTATTTGAAGGCAGAGAGATGTTTTAGAAACATGCCTCAAAGTTATGGATGTTTATGAAATTAATTCCTAGGGGACAAGAGTCATGTTATTGTTATAAAATATCTATCAGTTTCTGTGCTATGCACCCACCTCCTATCTAATGTCTCTTCCCTTTAGAATCACAGAAATTTGCTAATTAGAGAACTGCCTCATATTAAAATTCTCAAGTGCCACATAGTAAACTTAGGCTGTAGTTTCCCTCTCTTTAGCATATGAAGTTACTGTCTAGTCACTTATAATTGAAAGAGCTTATTGGTTCCATGTATATGAAAGTTGCCAGTTAGTGAGATTCTGCATATTTAATCATGTTTATAGTCATATGAGTTTTAAAGACTGAGAAAGTAGAATCCAAAAATTCTTAACTTTTTTTCCCTCAGACTGAATCTCTCAATAGTTGTCATTCTCTTGCTCAAATTCTTCTACTGTGGAAAAAACTTCAAAATTAATGTTAGCAAAAGGCTCAGCAGCTGAGCAGAACAGTGCAAATTGGTTTTTGACTGAGTTCCTAGTTCTACTGCTGGTTTAATTGATATTTAATCCTTTCACAACAGTGGATCCTGGTGTCCATTGTTAAAAATGTACTCTATGCCTGGAAAGTCCAACTACCAGAGCTAAGGAGTTAAAGAGTAGATATTTACTTGAATGCTGAAAGGGTAAAAACTGGCTCTGAGAAAGTGTGGTAACAAGGTGAAAAACTGAAAGCCTTATCTACCACTGCTAATGTGCATCTCTTAATGATAGCACTCCTTTGTCACACTTATTCATTTTCGTGTTTTCTGGATAATATGGTATATGATTTCAATGTTTCTAATGGTGCTTTTTCACACCTGTGTGTTTTTCATCTCTTCTTAATTTATACCCTGTTAGTGTGTTGTTTCTTTTTATATCATAAATGTATTTCATGTTCTATTCTGAGTTTCTGAATGCCCTCTTTGTTTCAGGCCTGAGATGGTTGTTGGTTGGTATCACAGTCACCCTGGCTTTGGTTGTTGGCTTTCTGGTGTGGATATCAACACTCAGCAGAGCTTTGAAGCTTTGTCGGAGAGAGCTGTGGCAGTGGTTGTGGATCCCATTCAGAGTGTAAAAGGAAAGGTAGAGTAGATTCTAATCTTTATTGCCATCTACTGCCGCATTTTGTTTACAGATGCATAAAATAAAAATCCCTTTTGTTTTAAGAAGGATTCTTAATTACACAGAAAACTGATGTTTACTTAAACAAGAAAAGGTACAAGTCAATAAATTTGTCTTGGTATTATTAGCAATTTAGGTATTTGGAGATTTGTTTCTATCTTAGTCACACATTATCTAATCATCATGACTATCTTTAAATTTCATAAAATGAGGAGTGTTAAATCATACTAAAAGCCTTCTATATACATCTTATTACTATTTTAATAAACATTACCTTCTTTTGGGCTCAAATAGTGAATTTGGCATCGGCACAACATTAAAAAATCTGTTTAAAGGACTCTGCTCTGCAGACATTATACAGGACGTTTTCTGGAGTTGTATGTTCCAAATATTTTAGACAATGAAAACTTGCCCCGAAGATTTGATATCAGCCATTCACAATTTTGGAATGAGGATATAGATTAATAATTAAATAATTTAAATGATTCTGAAAAAAAGAGATTAACTTGCAAAGCATATTAGGTTATAGTTGTTCTTTGTTGAAATCTCTTTTGTTCTTGTTTAGTTCTTTTTTTTTTTTTTTTGTTCTTTCATTCTTTCTTTCTTTTTTTTTCTTTTTCTTTCTTTCTAGCCCCATATGCCATTTTCCTATTTCCTGCCTCATGACAGCAGGGAGCAGCTCTATTATCACCTTCACAGAGCTGTCTGCAAATGTGAGAGGCAATTCGATTTTGCTCAACCACAGGGAGAGTGGATTAGAAAAACTACAGAACATACAGAAATTGGCTAGGTGGTTACTGCTTTAAAATACTGCTGAGGTGTCTTGTTTGAGCATGTACTTCCATTGTAGTATAGAATAATTGTTAAAATAAAATCACAATACATTTATGGAATCCTTTTTATGCAGGTATTACAAATAATTTTAAAAGTACTTAGGAATAAATATTAGCTTGATATCTTTCAGACCTGGAGTTTGATAGTAGTGTAGATTACATTTACATCTGCTCACCAGCTCAAGCAAACTATAAATATGGCTGTTAAAACGTGGAGTTTTTTATCTGTCATGGATTTCAAATGTGAATATTTTCTAACATCAATTGTTATGATGTATAAAAATTGAGGTCTTCTTTAATTCATGATCCTCTTAGATGTGTTTTAACTTTTTTAGAGGCAGCAACTATTCACAAAAACAATAACAGAAACTGATATACTGGACAATTCAGAGTGTATAAATTGTGATGCTTGCTATATGCCTATATTTCAACTTACTTTATTTTTTACTAACTATATTGTTATTTAACTGATAGACATAAAATGAGTTGAAGTTCTTGATATTTATTAATGAATAAAAGTACAGTATAAACACTCTTAAGTTTAATTCTCTAATATTTAAGGCACCTTTTTAGTAATTCACTTAATAATTATTATTTTAGAAACATAAAATTAACTGATAAGGCTCACCACCAAAATAACTTATTTATAAGTAATAATTGGAACTTAATTTAAAATATAATTTTATATGGCAATTTTAGTTTCCAAATCTAGTTTAAGTATTATTTAATACTGGAATTTGCATTATTTCTAACTGATTGTAATTCACCTTAAAAGAATAAATTTCTTCGAAAGTTATAATTTAGTTTTTAAAAAAAATCTAAAATTTTGAAATCATGTATCACTAGTTTTATGTTACCAAAAATATTTTTCAAAACATTGAGTGTAAATATCATTGATGATCCACATCACTTGTTGTACATAACATAGATTCATACAGTTACATCTCCTTACATAAATACCTGGTTCTTTGTTAGTAATGCAACTTCATGTGTCTGAGTTGGGTTGTAATTTATGATTCTTTCTATGTCAGGACCTTTCAATACTATGAGTGAAATTAAATGTTAGAGTGTTCTAGTTTAATCATTAAATGTAATGGCCAGGGTATTCTAGTTAAATCATTAAATATAAGAATAGAAACTTTTAATGATGGATGGCATAGGACTCTCCCTTGCACATGATTTATCAAATCTGTCAAAATATTTAGTAAGGGTATGATTAGACCAAGAGCTAAAATGACAGTCTGTAAGTGAGTTAAGTTGGTTCTCTGTTAATTGTTTTAAAAAAACCTCTTTCCTGTGTATTTTTTACATTTCCATGTTTACAATTTCCAGTGTCATCTCATTTTGGATGATTAGATGGGCATGGACTCTTTCTTTGTAATCTCAGTTCATTCACAAGAAGTTTGATTTTCTTTTATGATGAGTTCACTAAATCTTTTTGAATAATTGAATGCCAGGTATTATGGTAGTAACTGATTTTTCAACTAATTTCAACTGATGTATTCTTTGCAGTAATCCTAGACCTAGATTACTACTACTATTACATCAGCGAAAATCAAAGAACTTTGCCAAAATCAGACCATAAATAAGCAGCACAACAAGAGTATAATTCCAGGTTTATATAATTTTACAGCTCAAGCTTTTTACTGTTTCATATTTTACTGTTTTGAATGAGACAATCAAAGTAACTCAGGAATGAAAAATAAATACCAGAAGTCATTGCAGAGCTTTTTTTTTAAAACTCCTTTCAGCTTAAGTGAAGGGGAAAAGCTATATGTCCTTGAGTTCTCAGAAGTTCTCCGTACTACTTACAGTGGGTACTATGTATTGTTTGATTTTCCCAACTGGCATTTGTTCTGTTAATTTTAAAAAGCAACTTAGGCATATCCCTGTCGTTTTTTGTGAAATCTCTAGAACCAAATATTAAGACTGACATCAATAATAAGATGCATTGTGTGATGAAACATCCATGTTATTCTGTATGTGATGTAGTATTAAATGTTTTTAAATGATATAAATGAAAAATTAGTGATAACTGCGTTCATAATTTAAATGGAAAGAAAGCTCTTAGAAATTACCGTTGGCCTCTGTAATCAGTTAAATTATTTGCAAGATTCTATTTCAGTTTTTAGTTTATTTGTAAAATACATGCATTCAAAGACTTTTAAAACATTAGTTCTCAAGTGGCACAGTGGCAACCTCTTGTTTAATGTTCTATTATCTTGGATGTTCAGCCCACAACTGGACTTGATGCAATTGTAAATTTAGAAGTTAATTCAACTTGTAATATGACCATACTTCTTTTGTAGGGCTAAAAGAATTATTACTTGAGGCAAAATCATAAAACTAACATACAATATGCTAATGATATTTAGCCTATTTCTTTCTTTCTTTCCTTATTTAAAAGTTAGAGTTACACAGAGAGAGGGAGAGACAGAGAGTAACATGTTTATTAAAAGATAATACTGCTTCAGAGAACTCATTTTCCTTGACAGGATTTTCCTTAGTAAATGTTCATAAAATCATAAAATCATTGTTTTTTCCTCTGTTTTGAAAACAATTAAAAATACCTGGCTGTTTATTCCAAATATAGCTTCCCACCGGCTGGGTTTGCTTGAAATATTTTTTATTTAATCTGATCAGAAATACTCAATAGATTTAAAAGTGTGATATTTATCTGTTTATAAATTAGCTCATCATCAGGTCATTCTTAATTATACCTGATGTGCTTGTGTGCTAATGATTCCAAGGTACAAAATAAGCGAAAAGAAGATAATTTACATGCACTTAGTCTCACTAGTGAGCAAGATAACATTCCATCAATTATATACTGATATCATACTAATAACAGTGCAAATATATAATATCGCTTGTTTCTGTAAGTATTAAATAGGTTGCTCAGAGACAGAAATAATTCAACAAATATCTATTGTATCAGCTGTACAAATAGCAGAAGTTTGGGCTGAGTTCTGAGGGGTAGGAAGGCAGGACATCATTCAGAAAAGAGGAGCTTGTACCATGTGGGAAAAATGTGGAAATAGTATCATTCCAGGTGGTTAAACCTGTTCAGTCTTCTTTCAGGAAGACTGGAGTGTAAAATGTGTGGTTTTATGGCTGCTTTTGTTTTTTTTTAATCAGCGTTTTACTAAAAATGGGACTCTGGAAATAAATACAAATACAGGAGGAAGGTCAGGGATTGAATGTTAGAAGAGCTTACCTTTTATTTTCAGATATTCAGAAGGTTATGACTTTTTAAAGGTGTGTGGGGGGAATATTTTACTTTTCCTAGAAACTTTTTATTAGAAAGTTTTAAGATGGTGAAAGTTTTTTTTTTTTTTTCAAAGATTTATTTGTTTATTTGAAAGTCAGAGTTACAGAGAGGGAGAGACAGAAAGAGAGAGGTCTTCCATCTGCTGGTTCACTCCTGAAATGACTGCAAGTCAGGCTGAAGCCAGGAGTTTCATCCAGCTCTCCCATGTGAGTACAGGGGCCCAAACACTTGGGCCATCTTCTGCTGCTTTTCCCAGGCCATTTGCAGGGAGCTGGATCAAAAGTATAGCAGCCTGGACTCAAACCGGCACTCATATTGGATGCTGGCGTCACAGGCGGTAGACTTGCCATACCACAATGCCAGCCCCAGTGGACCTTTTAAACTTCTCAAATAGTAGTTTTGTTTTGGCTTTTCTTATTATTTAAAAAAATATTGTGTAAAGCAGGACATAGACTAATGAAGAGAACGGGATTTGGGATCTGAGATGAGACCACTGTTTTTTGTTTTTTGTTTTTTTTTAATTTTTTTTTTTTTTTTTTTTTTTTTTTTTTTTTTTTTTTTTGGACAGGCAGAGTGGACAGTGAGAGAGAGAAACAGAGAGAAAGGTCTTCCTTTGCCGTTGGTTCACCCTCCAATGGCCGCCGCGGCCAGCGCGCTGCGGCCGGCACACCACGCTGATCCGATGGCAGGAGCCAGGTACTTATCCTGGTCTCCCATGGGGTGCAGGGCCCAAGCACTTGGGCCATCCTCCACTGCACTCCCTGGCCACAGCATAGAGCTGGCCTGGAAGAGGGGCAACCGGGACAGAATCTGGCGCACCGACCGGGACTAGAACCCAGTGTGCCGATGCCGCAAGG